ATTTTATTACATTCTTACCAGTAAAGCAGCTTTTCTCCACTCTCGACCTCGCATAGTTTTGTACACTCGCGCTGAGAAATAGCCGGCAATTAAACCAGAAAACACATATAAAAATATTGCGCAGGTGCCCAAGGCTCCTCGACTCGCTGGCGACAACATTCCCAACATCGCAAAGACTGCAGAAACAAATGGATGTAAACACGTAATCACTATACTCTATGTTATACCACTAGGATTCTGTACATTTATGTACATCTTACATATTGTGATCAGAGCCATGAAAAAAATCTGAATGCCACTGCCAATTACGGCAGCAAATAAGCGTGGATAAGTCGGCGGTCGAAATACATCTCCGTGAACCAGTTTCCAACCCGTCTCCTCAATAGCTTCATCCAACCCTGCCAAACTGTCACTCTCGTCCGCGTTATAACGAGCTATATCTTTCCTGAGTGTTCTCACCATGATCATCGTAAGAATTGCTGCAACATAAAATTCAGAAATTAATATTGAAATTTGTAGAAAAAGTCGCAGGAAAATAATGAATCTTTTTATTTCACAAACGACCATTTCCCAAAGACGAGTCTAAAACTATGCTTAATATAGTAATTCTCACCGGACAAAAAGAAGATAACAATGAGAGAATTGACGATTGAAAACCAATGAATCTCAACGTCACTCATGCCCAAATATACGTCCCATCTGCTTGCCCAGCTGACGTCCGATTTTTTCCATTCCACTGAATATAAGAAGAGAAGACTCGTGCCTTTTGGATAAACAAATTGCGGACTCGCATCAGTCGGTAAAATACAAGTATTCCCGTCAAATTTTAATTGAGATGTGTCAATGGATCGAGCTTCCACTTCAAATCCAACTACTCTAAATTCATTTCTGTAAAAAAAAAAATTTTTTTATCAGATTTTTTTTTCTCTGTAAATTCTTTTCGTTTAAATTTTTGTTTAATCAATCTTAATTTTTAATTTAAATGTTACAAATGCAATTGCAAGTTTTCCACATAAATACATTTGATATTGAACTATTGTAAAATTGTGCACATATACAAGATGGATACTAACTCGCCATGTTTATGGTAGCTTAACTTTAGCTTAAGATAATTATTGATGTACACTTGATCATTCATTATTCCACCCAAGCGATATCCTTGATAAACTATCACGTTATTCGTTTCTTTATGTTTCTTCCTAGTGGCTGCTGGAAGATTATCTATCAATCTAGAACAAATATACAGGATAAAAACTAGATGAAATATTTTTTTATAACATGTAATAATAAAATTCTAACAGATGCACGAAATATTCATGCTGAACCATCTGGATAACATGTTGGGAATTCGCTTCGTCCCAAGTCATCAACTTGGACGGTTTGTGACATAGCAGCCTGCAACTGATATCCTCCCCCATTACAACTTCATATGGAGTATTTACTATTCTGAAAAAAAATGATAATCTAATTGAAATTATATTTGCAATAATCAGAGAAACAAAAAAAAATGTTTCCCTAAAAATAAATTTATGATAATGCAATATAAAATATAAAATATAAAATTTGATACTAAAAACTTTATTTCTATTATTAAACTATAAACTAAAGATTTAAAAAGAAGTCAAAATATAAACATGTTTAAATCAACATGAAATTATATTAACACATTAATTATTGTTGTTATATATTAATCTTTTTACTTTTTGATTATTTTTTGTCTAATTTATCTATTCAAATTTTTTCTAAATCAAATATCTACTTCCAGAAATAAAGAGCCTTACCTGTCACCACGTAACACCTCTCCCAAATTTTCAGATTTATAAATAAAGGTTCCATTCTTGGGTAAGCAAAAGGGAAGGGAATAATATTCATACGGTAGCTGCGTATGAGTACTCGTCATTTTAACCGCCTTAACGTCAATCTTCTGACCCTTCTTGAACTCCACTGGGGCAACTCCGGGTACATAGAAGCCATTTGTCTCTATCAGGAGGCCTATTATCACTAGGACAGCACCATTTCTCTGTAATCTCCCCTGTATATACATCAAGATCATTGATTCACTGATTAGCACGAGATCATAAATAATAATGTTACACCAAATCCAGCGATAAAAAAAATCAAGCTTTTCTTTGAAGTAAAAAGTGATAAATGTAATATAAAAAAAAATATGTAATAAATGTTTATATCCGTATAAACTTTCTGCAAAGATAAACATATTGCTTTCGACGATATCAAATCGTCAATCTGTTTTCAAGTTCAAATTTACGAGCCCGTGGGAACCTAATGACACACGATCGCACTATTATAAACACCGACAATACGGTGAATCATTGAACGAAAACGCGCGGCGTAACCCGCCGACGGAAGGAGACGTCGAGAGGAGAAACATGATGCGCGATCACTGCGACAGGCGGTGACTGCGCAATCGACATCGTAGGTTGTCACAGAACTCGCTCGCGGGAAGACGTAGGAAGGCGAGTCCACGACGGGGCCCCCCGTGTCACGTTCGGCCACGTAGCGACTTTATTTGACTAACCGCTGAGGTTGTCTCGGCGAAACGCGCGCGGGAAGCGTCGCACCTACCATTCTACGCGATTACAATCGCTTTTCGACGAAGGCGCGCCACGCTGCCTATCTCGCAGTCTCGCCCTCGATCCTCTCCTCGCCTCGCCACACCACACCACACCACACACCACACCACACCACACCACCTCGTAAGCTCGCCCACCGACGGCCCGCCTCACACGTTCGGAGTGAAGTTGCCGTCGCGTGCGCGCCCGCGCGCTGAAGCTGGCCGCGGGTCGGGGCGAACCGATGCGCTAACGCCGCGAAAGTCCCTAGCCTATCTCTCGCCTATCTCTCGACGAGAAAGAGGAAAAGAGATAGAGAGAAAGAAAAAAAGACCTCCCGGTTACACGGACGTCGAGGATATCCAGCGTTTCTTCGCGGCTTCGTCAGGTCCATCGTGAGTCGCGGAGTTCCCGGTCGATTTTTCCGCGTTCGCGGATTCCTCTCGGAAAACGTCGACCGATTCGCGTTTCGAAGATGGCGCCGCTTCTATCTCTCGACGTTCGGCCGGAAGTTTCATCTCCGTTGAGACGCGGAATGTGATTTTCACGGACGGTCAATGTCACAGTCGCGGCACCGCAATCCTGGATAAATAAAACGACGCCGATCGGCGTCGCGAGAACAACGAAATGCGCCTACTCGTGAAAATCTAGTGACTTCCGCGACACGGTCGCTCAACTGACCAGACTTTTCCGAGCGAAAAAATATACCCCCCCGAAAAGGAAAATATCGTCCCACGTGGGGACTCGTTTAATTACAAGTTACGTTGTTTGGATATGCATCTGTCCGGCTGATTTTTCTCGCGGAAGCATGGTGCAGGTGAGTGACGTGCCGTCCGCGTGTTATCGCAGCGTAATCCGGCCGGGTCGCGACAGATCCGCTGCGTTTTTCTGGCCGTGTCGCCGTCGGGAATTTTTGATTGTTTTTTTTTCCCTCCGCTGTCATCCATTAGTAAATAGGAAAGATGGCAGCAGATTATTGCGCTTTTTTCCCCGTGCCTTCGGTCCCGGGCGGACATTTTTCCCGGGGCATCGCAGCGGTCCGGAGCGGTTTTCTCGCAGTAATTTCCGTCGAAATCGCCCGCCGAATGCGTTTCCACGGACGGATTTCGTCGCGCCGTGCGTTTTTTGAATGAAACATCGCGGTCACCGGGACGTACGCGATACCCGCCGCACTCGGCTGTCCGGGCACGTCGCGTTCCGCACGCGGCTCGCCACTCATATAGGCGTTTCACGAGGAAAACGTCTCGGCGTCGCGACTCCGCTTAACCTATGCGCGCGGGAGCGGACATCAGAACGTAAATAAACGACGCGGCACGTTCTCCGATTCAATCGCGAATTCCGTCGGCGAAAAGCCTCGACGACGAGATGATCGTAAGACTCGGAAATTGTCTTTTTTTTCCCCCTTTCTTTTTCTTTTCTTTTTTTTTCTCTTTTTTCCTCCTTTTCTCTTTTCATGTATGACGATACGCTTGCATTTGTAGGCTATCGACGAGATGGAGCAGAGGGATCTCCCTCAGGCGTTCCGCCTGCTGGGAGAGATGAACGCCAACGTCCTCCAGGTGAACCAGCTCGTAGACAACATGTTGGTTCGCGTGAAGAACGGCGAAATCTCCACAGACAAGGGCCTCAGCTTCCTGGAGATGAAGTATCACATGCTGCTTTCGTATCTCATCAACCTGACCTATGTTGTCCTGAGAAAATGCTCCGGCGAACGTATTGAGGGTGATCCATCAATCGACCGCCTGATCGAGATCAGGACTGTCCTAGAGAAAATCCGACCAATAGACCACAAGCTTAAGTACCAAATAGATAAGCTTGTCAAGACAGCAGTAACCGGTACCATCAACAGCGACGATCCCAGTAACTTTAGGGCGAATCCTGATGCACTGATTGCCAAACTCGACAGTGAGGAGGAGGACAGTGATCAGGAGGAAGACGCAGATGGTGTCAAGTCAACAACACAACAATCTAGAAAGTCTAACGTCTACGTGCCACCGAAACTGGCTACTGTGCATTATGGTTAGCTTACAATATGTAATTTATTGACAAGTTTTTATATGTACAATACTTATTTTTTTTTTTTTTCTAATCTTGCTGATATGTAATTTCTTCAGATGGCGACGAAACAATGGCAGAGAAAATCCGCAAGGCCAACGAGAGAGCACGCAGACGTGCTGTATCGAACACAGTTCTGCGAGAACTGAAGGAGGAATATTTGGACGCACCTGTGGAGGACAGTCAAGGTCTGGGAGAGAAGCGAGCGATTCTAGTGCGCGAGAACAAGCGAAAGAGCGAATACGAGGAGAACTACATGACGCGTTTGCCCGTCACTAAGCAGGAAAAGCACAGACGTCGTCAGATGACGACTCTGGGCACTCTTGGTGATGAGATCACCAATTTCGGAGAGTCATCTACCAAAACCGCCAAGAAAAGAAAAGCTCAGAGGAAGGGCAAAGCTAAAAAGAGTAAGAGATCGCTCCTTTGCGACGACACAAAGGCAAACGCAAGGCGATAAGATGTTAAAATTGAGAATTTATGTTACAGGTTTCAAGAAAAAACGGCATCATTAAGAGCACATGATTAAGAAACAACTGGGACTTGCGACGAGACCCTGGGGTTTAATACAGCATTAATGATTAAGGTAAAAGGTAAAAAAAGAAATAAATTTACTCGACTTCTTCTTCGAAACAAAAAGCAGATGCCACTAATACTCGTTATTAAGTTAAGCTAAAGGCGTAACATCGTAACATCTAGTAATAAAAAAAAAGACAACGTGTGTCGACGATGGAAGTAAAAATAGCACGATGATAATTTATTACTGTATAAGACATACTAATGGTCGTGTAATTGATAATTCTAGTTAATAATGATTTTAATCTTTAACTGTTGTCTGAGAGATCAATTTTGATCTGTGGAGTTGAGATGCAAGATCCATCGGGAAAAAATCGATATTCCATGTGAGTGTGAATGCGATTGAGAAACAACGTCGAAGTAACGATGGCACATACGAGCTTAATGGAAATTATGTGTCGTAATAGCGTAATATTGTATTGTAATGTTGGATCGAGTAGCGAACTTAACGGCTCCAAGATTGAAAATTGTGAATTACACGTAAAAGTTGAAAGCAGAACATTCTTCTGCTTTATTTTGAAATATTCTCCGGCTATATAGAGAGAAGTGATGGGAGAGAAGGGTGAAAATCAGTAAACATAGCAGGAGAGACGATATTGAATTAATTGTTAATGAAAAGCGTAAAAATCACAAGACATTCCCAACAAAACGCAGAAGTTACAAAACTCAAGATTTAAAGATGAAAGAAGCAAAAACAAAGCAAAACAAGCATTCTTTAGGAACTCTTTACGCACTCGGCGCAACTTTTGAAAACGGAAAAAAAGAATAAAAGAAGCAAAAACGATGTTTCGTCGATATCCGCATGTCTTAGGATTTTCTCGCTGTCTTAGAGTAGTGAAGTAGTTACTAGTTTTACTATATTATATGTATGTTTCGTTTGTGTTTTTCCCCTGGTGAAACTGTTGAGGCTATTATAAACATTTGAATGTGAGTCATGTTTTTATGTTAAGTCTCATTTCTCTTTTTTACTTTATTATTATTATTACAATGTGCTTGTGCATTGTACATTTGTTGTTTTTGCGTTTTGGGTTTAAGTCGTTAAACTTATATTGATGGTAATATAAGGATAACACGAGCGTGTCAAAATTCAAAATTGTCGTCATGTTCTCAGATTTGATTTCGATTGACCATTTATTTCATTTTCTCAGAGGGAGAGAGAGGGGGAGCTTGTCATATCAAACAGTAACGGATAAAAAGCGACTAACGAAGGAAAAAACGAACGAACGATTGAACGAACGAACGAAGACTTTGGGCGAAAATCACTTCTGCAAAACCTGATAAATAGGATATTTGTACAATCAAATTGTGCGCGCGAGAATGAGAATCGCGTTGTCTCCTTAAATGGGTTGCATCTTTTCTTTAATGTTGTTAAACGCGGGGCCTCGCGCATGGTCGCGGCGTGTCCCGGGTGTGATGTTCCTTTTTAAAGTAGCTAGGAGAGAGGTGCTAGATTGAGCGATCCTTACTTGTTCTATACAGAGAATATGTACATATGTTAGATATATATGCGTTCATATAGTCACACATTGCTCATTCCGTGCAGAAGTGGTCCCACCCTCCCCGGTTTTACCCTCGCGAGAGGTAAACTTAAACGTGGTTCGTTGCGTATGCTGGCCAAGGGCTCAACCATCCATAGATATTATATTTTTTACAGAAGTGTTCATAGATTGAGCCAACTTGGCGCGGCGCCGACGATATGTCACTCGTCTCCCCCTCTCCTCGACGTTCTGTGAAGACGATTAATTAAAGAAGAAAAAAAAAAGAAAAAATGTGATAATGATTATTCATGAAATAATAGTTAAAGAGAAACTTAAACAAAATAGCACAATCGCTGGGCATTATTTACAAAGTGCTAGCAAGCCTAATGTCAGCAGCCTTGTCGTATTTGGTATTTAAAATGAAGTTGAAAAACGCCGAATTGCGGACAGATTTTTCGCGAAACATCCAACGCTCCTGAAGAACGCGCGTTATTAATCCTCGGATGTGCGCGTTTAGAAAGAAAGAAAAGGAGAGAAAGGAAACAAGGATCGAGATCGGAGTTTCGATAGAATTTGTCCGACGTTCGGCTTCCTCATACTCCATTGCATAGACGATAATTTTGTGAAGCACACCTACGATCGGCGCGAGCTGCGAGCCCAGAAAAGAGATACACGTACAGTGTGTGTGATGTGTGTAGTGTGTGTGTGTGTGTGTGTGTGTGTGTGTGTGTGTGTGTGTGTGTGTGTGTGTGTGTTGTGTCTATGTCTATGTCTATGTCTATGTACCATAATCGTCCCGTTTGAAACCGTTACTAGCCGGTACGTCTGCCGATACCGATACTGATACTTTGCAATAGGCCTGTAACTTTTTGCATTCGTACGTGCGCTCCGAAAGAAACGCTCTGCGACACACTGGATTTTTTATATACATATATATTAAACGATACACGACGTTTCGGGCTCGCGGCCACAAGTGTGGTAGGTGTGCGAAGGAGTATTCATACGACACACAACATATCCACACACGCAACATATAGCAGCAAGGTAATAGGATTACATTGAATACACTACCTCAAATCAATAGTAATATGGATTTACAGTAATACGGGGAAAAAAAGAGGAAACTCCGCGGCGGTCGCGCTTCGCTCTGTTGTTGTTACGAGCCTCAATTCTTTATACGGTCGCGCCGATGTTTTTTTACGGGACGTATTTATATTTCCACCGAATTCTTTGTTGAAGGATGTATAGTGGATTTATTCGCCTTGAATATTCTCGCCTATCTATATTACTCTGAGAGCACAGGTGTAACTTTACATTAAGCAGATTTTTTTATATCCGGCTATAATACTTAGAAATATATATTAAATATATATAAAAAAACTAAATCTAGAATTAATCTAGAGTAGATGTTCATTTCATTTATATAATTTAAAAATACAATTAAATTCTTTTATTCAAGACTATCCGGTACAATTGAACATAAGAGTAAATATTTAATTAATCGTTATTGATTTTATTCAAGAGAGATCCACTGGATCCTCGCCTGTGTTTCTCAGGGTTATAAAGGAAAGGACTACAAATGTACAAATATATATTAGGGAGATATTGCGAGAGCGTTGCCGCCTGTGGACTTTCGAAAGAGTAGTCCTTCAAATCCAACAACGCTGCCGAATGCCGAACTGAAAAAAGAAGAAAAAAGAAAGAAAGAAAAATATCAAGAAGTATCTTTGCAGCAGAGACGGAATGATGATAGGGATGATTTATTGACTACATTCATAGTCTTTGAAGAGTAACGACGTTTTATTTATATATTGGTGAATTTTTCTGTAATTTCATGTATACTATATAAATGACAATTCTCAACGTGTGAGCGCGAGAGAGTGTGAGAACGAAGAGCGAGAGAAAAATAAAGGATGAGACAGAGAGAAAGAGAGAGAACGAGAGAAAGTTTACCTTGTACATTTATAAATTGTGGTTATTATACGAATGGATTATTATGATTATTAATTATTATTATTATCACGGATTATACTATGATTATTATTAACATCATGTAGAATGCTTCTTACTGACTGAATAAAATGTTTTCAATGTCGAACATTGTTATCTTTACAACAACTTTATATTTAATTTAATATGTACAAATTGTTTACATAATATTAAATACTTGGAAACAATAAATTATATATAGACAATTTAGTTGTCCACTTACTAGAGAGAGAGAGAGAGAGAAGATAGAAAAAGTAATTATTACATTAACCCCTGATAACGGTTTCTATTTTGAATTTTTCTACGATAATCCTCATAGTCTCAATTTTTTTTTCTTTTCGCCAGATTTGCCGCTTTAAAGTTTGTATCCTTTGACGTAAATGCTTAATCTCGGCACTAGTTGCTTTTCCAATCATTTCCATATTTGAAGAATTCATATTGCATATTCTTTCAGGCGAGATTCTCGTTTCCTTATCCCGAGTATTTAGTTTTTTCGGCAATAAAGAGAGGGAAGTGTTTGTTTCTTTATCACATTTCAAATCTGTAATACAAATAAATGCTCAAGGCTCGGCTCTTTCAGACAGTCACATTGATTTCATGTTATAGAGAAATGACATATAATAATTTCTTTACAATGTATAGCCTTATTTCTAGCCTTATTTCTTATTAGTTTTTTTTTCTTGAAAACATAATTTAGTGATCCTGAAACTTATAAAATGAAATGTTACACTTCTATGATAAAACGAACAGATATCTCAGTTTCCATACATTTCCCATATATTTTACAAGTTTCAAGATCACAAAATTGTTTTTAAGAAAAAAACTAAGAAATAAAGCTAGATATTTGCAAAATTATTTTTTAAATTACAACACATCATTTCTATGACGTTATAAATTAATGATGAAAAAGCTGAGTCTTAAATTTGAAACTCACATTAAAATTATTCCAATCTCATCTATTAGAATTATGTAATTTATTAAAAATATCAATAATGGGGGAATAGGTTTAATTAACTACAAAAATAACATTTTTACCTGTTATTCCTATTTTTATATCATCATACATATTTTCAAATACCTGTAATTAAACAGAGTTAATAAAAAGTCTAACAAGAATAGTAGAAGTTTAGAGATCAGATAGATCAGGACATATAAATGATATTATTTCTTATATTATTATATTAAATCAATGATTCCATCTAATTAATTATGAATTTTTAAACACATATATACACATATATATATATATATATATATATATATAATAATGTGTGTGT